CTGTACTCACTTGTTAGTTCTGGGAACTTTTTTTTAGAATTTTGGGGATTTTCTTTATAAGCAATCACATCTTCAAAAAAAAGTTTTATTTTTTTCTTGCAAGATGTATGCCTTTAACTATAAATTCTATATTTCTTTAATAGATACAGAGTTATCTATTAAGGTAATCTATTCTTGAATGAGTTTGGTAATTTGTGTCTTTCAAGGAGCATATCCATTTCATCTAAGTTATCAAGTTTATGTACTTAGAGTTGTTAGCCTTTTCATGTCTGTGGGATCAATAGTGATATCCTCTCTTTCATTTTTGTTATTTGTATTTCTGTTTTTGCTTGGACATAATTTTCATTTCATTTATGTAAATACCTAGGAGCATAATTGCTGGATCGTGTGGCAAGATTATGTTTAGCTTTGTAAGAAACTGCCACACTCCTTCCAAAGTGACTGTGACTGTACCGCTTTCCAGTCCCACCAGCCGCAGATGAGAGTTCCTGTTGCCCCACGTCCTCGCCAACATTGGTGGTGTCAGGTTTTTGGATCTTAGCCATTCTGATAGGTGTGTAGTGGTGTCTCGTTGTCTTAATTTGCGACTCCCTAATGACACGTGATGGCGAACATGCTCCACATGTTCATTTGCCCTTTGTATATCTTCATGTTCAGGTCTTCAGTCCCACAGACTGGCCGCTGCTTACAGCAGTTGCCTTTTTAGTCCAGCAAGTTTTAACTTGTCTTCTCTTGTGTTGGTCACTTCTGTAGTTCCCTTTCACAGACTGCGCCTGACACTGTCAAATAGCGTTGCTTACGTCTTCCTTTGCACCCATGTACTTTGTATTCTTTTATCCTAGCTTCTGTGACTTCCAATTTCATTTGCATGTTTAACTTTTCTTCCACCTGCAATGCTGAATGCGTCTTGAGGTCAGGACTGTATTTCATTCATTTTTATGTCACTTGCACCTAGTTTAATACCTGGAACCTAGAGGTCAGTAACTGTGCTGCAGATGTAGTGTGACCAGCCAAACCTGTTTGCCTGTGACTGTCTTGCCTTTGACACTGAAGGGCCCATGTCTGGGGAGCCCTGTACAGATGGGTCCTAGGATAGCTTAAAACTTGAAAGAGAGGCTATCCCATGCTGGGCACAGTGGCTCATGCCTCTGATCGAAGCTATTCAGGAGGCTGAGGCAGGAGGATCACTTGAGGCCAGGAGTTCGAGGCTACAGTGAGCTATGGTCCCACCACTGCAATCCAGTATGAGTAACAGAGCAAGACCCTGTCTCTTAAAAAAAATAAAATTAAATTAAAAAGAAAGAGAGTATCCCAGTTCTCATATCTTGAATGAAAGGATGACTGAGTTAACGCACATCAATGGATGTGTTCAATATGATTTTTGTTTTTCTCACAAAGTTGAATGTAAGTAATGGATGCCCTAAGTAGTCTGTTGTTTTCTACAAACCTAGTAAAATAACTTGAGATTGGATGGGGTATTCTATTTCAGGGACCATTGTCATTCATGGATGTGTTTGTGGATTTTACCTTGGAGGAGTGGCGGCTGCTGGACCCAGCTCAGAAGCACCTGTACAGGAGTGTGATGTTGGAGAACTACAGCAACCTGGTGTCCCTGGGTGAGTGCCGCCTCCCTGAGGAGCAGTGTGCACAATCTCCAGGCTTCCCCTCATTGGTTGCTGAAACCTGGGGGGGCTTCTGAAAATAGTTAATGATTTTGGGCTTATGTTTAAAGGACAGATTTTCTTAGACACCAGCTGATATCAGAGTATGCCAACTGAGTGGTCTTTACTTTGCCAATGTGCAAAAGGGCAGCTTTTCATGCCACCTCTAATCCAAATCTTCTCCATTCTTCAGAATCCATGAATCCGAAGCAGTTTTGTTCCATGTTGTTTGTGATTTTCTATTTACAGGGTATCAACACACCAAACCCAACATTATCTTTGAGTTGGAACGAGGAGAAGAGCTGTGGGTGGTGCATGCCCGAATCCCAAGGCAGGGCCATCCAGGTAGGTGATGCAGACATTTAGGTACTTTCCTCCCTATTTAGAATTGGTATGAATTCTGCTGTGATGTGCTCCTCTTGTCTCAATTGTAACCACGCACTCTTAGTTAATCTCCTTCTTGTTGGCATCTCGTTTTCCTTCTTACTGTTCCTTGGTAAGAGACTCATTTCATTATGCATTCAAGCAAGCTTTTCCTCTTTCCCTCACTTGATGTAACTTTTATGCCTCTTCTACTTCCCTTCTATCTGTTTTAAATTATATTTTTAAATTCCACGTACTTAAATTCAACCACCACAGCCCCAGCCGTTGGCAGATTCTGCCGCTTCCGTGTTCCCCATGCGAAATAAAGCTTCACTGTCATCACCGTGTCCCTCAGGAGCACTTCCCTTAATATTTGATGGTGTCCGTGGTCCTGCCTGAAGCCTTCACCCCCACCCTTGACTTCAGTCACCCCTGTGGACCCTGTTCTCACGCTGTAGGACCAAACACTTGTTCCCCTCACTTTCTGCTGGGCTTCTCTTGCTCTTTGGAGTCCAAAGGAGTCTTTTTTATTTTCTTCATTTTCCTCGTATATTCTAACGGTAAAGGGCTTCTGTTTCATGTCATTTGTGCTGCTATAGCAAAACACCACAGACTGGTTAACATGTAAAGCACAGAAATTTGTTTCTCACAGTTCTGGAGGCTGGAAGTCCAGGACTAAGGTGCTGACAGGTTTGCCGTCTGGTGCGGGTCTGGTTTCTGATTCATGGGTCGTGCCTTGTTACTACGTCCTCCTGAGGGCAGGAATGCCGTGGGACAGAAAGAGGGGCGCAAAGGGCCTAAGGTAGTTCCCTCCAGCCCTCTTAGAAGGCACTAGTCATAAGGGCCTGACTCAATCTCTCTCTGAAGGGCCCACCTCTTAATATCACCGCAGTGGAGGGACATGCACTCTGGAGGGGATACGTTCAGACAGTGGCAACTTCCATTCTGAAGATTTAAACTCTTTTGTTCCTCTACTCGTAATCAATGGCCACACTGATCTTTCATCTGCCCTTTGGTCCTGGTTTTGTTTTGTTTGTTTTTTAGGGATGGTGTCACGCCATGTTGGCCAGGCTAGTCTCAAACTCCTGGACTCACGCAGTCCTCCTACCTCAGCCTCCCAAAGTGCTGGGATTACAGGTGTGAGGCACTGCATCTGCCCTAGTCCTGGTTTTGATTGATCCACTGGCGTCTTCTGTGTGCCCCTTTGTGGCATCATTTTCAGAAACCAGAATCGTGTCTTCCACTGCTCCATAGCCACATACCTTCCTTCTCAGCTTTCTTTTCATTAGTTTGTTTGTTCTGCTGTTTCTAGTTCTTTTTCTTGGCACTAGGGAGTGAGCTTGAATCTTCCTTCTATGCAGGTTCCTCTTTCTAGACTTGGCACAGTCTGTCAGTGTTTTGGTCCTTTAGAAAGAGGTCTTTTAAAGCCTTCATCTTCTCAATTCTCACCCAAAATGAGGCAAATATTATCTCATGTGTGGAATGTTCTACTGATTAGCCAAATTTCCTTGTTTTATTCTTTATTTTAATTCATCTTGGATGTTATTGTCAGATATGTTTCCCTGAGCACCCAAGACAGTCCTTATATTATTAGGATTATTGTAGCTGCAATTTTTGATCAGTCCTAAACCACCCAATTGAAGCAGAAGTGATTTGCTGTTACACATGACACAAAGCCTTGAACCCTGGGGCAACTCCAGGGTAAACTAAGCGATTGATGCACTAAATCATCAAGGTCCCATATAGGTGTGTCAGCATTTTCCTCAGGTCACCTCCCCTGACGGTCATCAGGTGGGTGTTGCGGTTCTAGCTGACACATGCAGGTACACCAGTGGCTGAGGAATAATAAGAAGGGCTGTTTTTCCCATATGACTCTTATCAAGCAGTAAGACTATTACAGATGCCCCCAGCAGATTTATCAAGTCTAACCAGCTAGATTTTTATCACATGCCCCTGTCTAAAGAAGTCTCTGGCAAGGGAAATGGGACTATCAGTGTCCGCTCCGATAAATTGTGCTTTACCTTCTGGAAGTAGGGATGGGGATAGGGATGGGTGCTCACTTCCCTGACTGAAGCACATCACCTTAAGGATGGGGGTGGAAAAACATTAGGTTTCTGCCAGCCGGGAAAGAGCAGAAGAACCTCTGGGTGGGCAGCACTGTCTGCCTGCACGTCCTTGCTTGTCCAGGCAGCACCCATCGCACCCTTCTTCCCAGGCAAATATATACTGTAACCCATATTTTTGTTCTTGTACTACATTAATGAAAGTCTAGGATCCTGTTCCTATTCAGACCTGGTAGCAGTTCTTTACATTCTGGAGAGCTATAATTAATGATCTGTCCGTATATAGCCATCCAAATATAGAAGGATAGAGAGAGGTATATGGTCCCCCAGAGCATCACAGGTGTGAACACCCCATAGTAGACACTTTTATACTATATCGAAACCCTGGTCAGGTAGACTTTGCCAGGACGTCTTTCCATGGCAGCGAAGTAAGCTTCCTGGTGAGTGTTCATTTCTGCTCTCTAAGCGTAATTTCCTTTTCTGTCATCTTCTGTGGTTAAACTCAACATGGTTATTCTGGAAAATGCTTTTCTGTAGCCTCAGAATCTCGATTCTGTTGGTGCACATTGGGGTTCCCGGTGATTACCTTTGGACCCCAGCCAGTAATTATGTTTAATGTAGTCTTAAATCATGTTTAAGTAATCTTTAAGCTTAGGAATTCCTGTGTTCTGGTTACTGGATTTAGTATTTTTTCTTCATTTCCTGAATTTTTAGAGTTACCAAACATAATCTTACTTTTGCCATTGTTACTATAGTACAAAGAGCCTGGTCAACAGAAGATGTATTAGATTTCCTGGGAAATCAAATGATGATTTGATGTGGGATCCAAGCAAAGAAAAGAATGGGTATGGTACCAGCAAGAGAAGAATCAGAAGGATAAAGTATAGAATTTGATGGTTAGGACAGCTTCAGTGTCCATGAACTGTGAAAGTCTATGGGGGTAATACTGACAGCCAAACACAGGAGCAAATCTGATTCTAGGGCAAAGAGTAATTACTCACTGGCCTATTTTATTTTCGATAGAGACATTTTTGACTATAGGACCATGTAATAACCAGTAATATTCCTTCCCAAGCCACTGTGATAGCCAAAAGTGCCCATATTCATTTCTCGGTGTATCCCGAGGAAGATTCTGTACCAGTTGGGAATCGACGTCTGGGGAAATATAATTTGGTGGTTGTGTACAAAAGGAATGAGACAGATCAGATTTGATAGGTGGGACAACTTGCTTATTTTTTCACAGGCAACCTTGAATGCGGTGTTAAGGTTCCCTGATCTGCTATCTCCAAACCTGACTTGCTGCTTTGTTATCTTAATGTCCTTTTCTGTTCATTGCCCTGATGAGCATGTTACTTAGGGGCATCTAAATTGACTCTACTCGTTCTCTCTTCTATTCAGCTTCCATATATTTGCTGTTGTGCCTGAGGACTTGATCCCGTGTCTTATTTCATATCTACTTTGCATCTTTGACTTTTGTTTTCAGGTTAAAATAACGGTCTGCTTATCCTGTGCCTTCTCTGTTTTCCATCCTTGCCAGAGACAACTACCTTTATCTCTTTTAACTCTTTCCTGCAGTGTTTGCCTCCATATTTCTAAATACCCAGATTATTCTCCTGCACCTTGGCTTTCCCCCTACTATTAGTCAGTATAGAAGGGTGATTTAATTCTCTCTCACCCTGCTCCCTCCATACCTTCCCACCATACGCACTCGGTCCCTTCCCATGCCTCCATCATGCTAATACAGTAATTTCATATTTTTGCTTAGATGAGTCTTCAGTTTTTACATTATTATGACTATGTAATTTCTGTTTGCAGGTAAATTATGCAGGTGTACAATGATTCAATTTTGCTTATAAATTTTTATTTTTCTGTAGTTTTATTCGCCTGTTTAATTTTTTCTGTTATCATTAATATGTTTATCTTTAATTTAGGCTCGGACTCCTTTTGATGTCTAAGTGTTCTTGGTTGGTGCATTCAGCCAAGTCATTCATTCTGTGCCTTTCATCTTCCCAGTGACATCACTGCCAGCTCTTCCTGACTTGCTGCAGCGGCGCCTAGTTTTTCCCAATGCCTGCTGTGCAGTTTTTATCCTGGGATCTCCTCTTTGGTTTTCTTTTCTGTATCCTCTTTCATCTTTTCTCTTGGTTTGTTTTGTTGGAGCACTTTCCCCAGGAGCGTCCTGTGAAAGGCTGCGTGTGATATAAATGGGGAGACTTGTGCATCTGAAATTGTTTTTACTTTACTTGTTATTGCTCTATTTTTTATCCTTTAGTGTTTCTAATGATAAGTCTGTTGCCATTCTAATTTTTGGCCCGTTATAAGAAGCTTTTGGGTTTTTTGTTCCTCTGGAAGCTTTTAAGAGCTACTTCTTGTCCTAAGTGTTCTGAAACTTTGTGATGATGTTCCCTGTGAGTCTGTTTTGATCCATTTGTCCAGTATTCAGTGAGATGTTATTCTCAAGAAGACTGGGAACTAATCTACAGTATTCTCTGTCTTTTTTCTATAGGTTAGCAAAGAGTTTGTCACATAATAGGAGTTTGCTAATTATTTGACAAATGAATCTAATGTTCAGAGATCCCTTATAACCTCTTTATATTATGCTTGTTGTTCTGTGTGCCTGTTTTGCCTTCTTTATCCATTATGTAAACCTTTTAAACTTAAACAATCTCAGTTTACTATGCTTATTTTCAATTTCAGTTTTGCTTTGTTTCCCCCAGTGCCCAGTAGTTTGGGTACATTTACACTTGAGGTTTTATTTTTATTGAGATCTGATATATGAAACTAAAAGAGAAATCTCATGATATGGTATTTTAAGGCACTTTTATGCTATACCAAGATCATGTTTTTATCTACTTATTTACTAGATACAGGGTCTCTGTTGCCCAGGCTGGAGTGCAGGGGCCCAATCATAGCTCACCGTAACCTCAAACTCCGAGCCTCAAGTGATCCTCTCACCTCAGCCTCCCGAGTAGCTGGCACTACAGGTTTGTGCGACCATGCCTGGCAAATTTTTAAATTTTTCTTTCTAGAGGTTTGGTCTTGCTATGTTGCCCAGGCTGGTTTTGAACTCCCGGCTCAAGCAGTCCTTCCACTTTGGCCTCCCAAAGTGCTGGGTTTACAGGCATGCCCACTGTACCTGGCCTCATGTAATTATTTGTAACATATCACTTATTATTTTCATTTCTAGATAAAGTCTGGGAAATTGATGATCACATCAAATGGCATCAGGAAAACCAAGGCAATCTGGGAAGTATAGCAAAAAGCTGTGAATGCACTGCATTTGGAAAACTATGTTTTCTCGGTACAAATTATGTTTGCTCAAGGCAGAAACCTCATACACGTGGCATACATGGAAAGAGTTTGAAATATGATACAGATTTCACTAGTAATTATGCTGGGAAGAATCCTAATACATTTCATGTACATCGGGAGTCATTCCTCCATTCTAAACATGAGCAAACTGTTATTGGAATAAAATACTGTGAAAGTAATGAATCTGAAAAAGCTGTCAATAAGAAGTCACAACTTATGTGCCAAACAACATATATGAGGGAAAAACCCTTTGAATGTAGTTACTGTGAGAAAGCCTTCAACAGTGAGTCATACTTTATAGTGCATCAGCAAACTCATGCAGAAAAGAAACCTTATGAATGCAATGAATGTGGGAAAACATTCAGTTTCAATTCACAGCTTGTCATACATGAGAGAATTCACACAGGTAAAAATCCCTGTCAATGCTGTGAATGTGGGAACCTCTTCAGTAGGAAAGACCAGCTTGTTTCACACCAGAGAATTCATTCAGGACATAAACCCTATAGTTGTAATGAATGTGGCAAAGCTTTTGGTTTGAAATCGCAGCTCACTATACATGAAAGAATTCATACAGGAGAGAAACCATATGAATGCAGTGAATGTCAGAAAGCCTTTAATACAAAGTCAAACCTTATGGTACACCAGAGAACCCACACAGGGGAAAAACCCTATGGTTGCAGTGAATGTGGCAAAGCCTTTACGTTCAAATCGCAACTTACTGTACATCAGGGCACCCACACAGGAGTAAAGCCCTATGGGTGCGTTCAGTGTGGGAAGGCATTCAGTTTGAAGTCACAGCTCGTTGTACATCAGAGAAGTCACACAGGAATGAAACCTTATGTTTGCAATGAGTGTGACAAAGCCTTCCGAAGCAAGTCATACCTGATTATACATATGAGGACACACACCGGAGAGAAACTCCACGAATGCAGTGATTGTGGGAAGGCCTTCAGTTTTAATTCACAACTCATTATACATCAGAGGATTCACACAGGAGAGAGCCCATATAAATGCCACGAATGTGGGAAAACCTTCAGTCGGAAATACCAGCTCATTTCACACCAGAGAACTCATGCAGGAGAGAAGCCCTATGAGTGCAGTGACTGTGGAAAAGGTTTTGGTTTAAAGTCACAGCTTATTACACACCAGAGAACGCACACAGGAGAGAAACCCTTTGAATGTAGTGACTGTCAGAAAGCCTTTAATACAAAGTCAAACCTTATTGTACATCAGAGAACGCACACAGGAGAGAAACCCTATGGTTGCAGTGAGTGTGGAAAAGCCTTTACATTCAAGTCACAGCTCATTGTACATCAGGGCGTTCACACTGGAGTAAAACCTTATGGATGCGGTCAGTGTGAAAAAGCCTTTAGTTTGAAGTCACAGCTCATTGTACACCAGAGAAGTCATACAGGAGTAAAACCGTATGGATGCAGTGAGTGTGGGAAGGCCTTCAGGAGCAAATCGTACCTTATTATACACATAAGAACTCATACGGGAGAGAAACCGCACGAATGCAGTGAATGCGGGAAATCCTTTAGTTTCAATTCGCAACTCATTGTACATCAGAGAATTCACACCGGTGAAAATCCCTATGAGTGCAGTGAGTGTGGGAAAGCTTTTAATAGGAAAGATCAGCTTATTTCACATCAGCGAACTCATGCTGGGGAAAAACCTTACAGGTGCAGTGAATGTGGGAAAGCCTTCAGCAGCAAGTCATACCTCATAATACACATGAGAACCCATTCAGGGGAGAAACCGTACGAATGCAACGAATGTGGGAAAGCCTTTATTTGGAAGTCACTGCTCATTGTGCATGAGCGAACTCATGCAGGGGAAAATCTTTGTAAATGTGGTCAGTGTGAGAAATCCTTCAGTGGGAAATTACAGCTCTTTGTACACCAGAGAATGCACACAAGGGAGAAACCCTACGAATGCAGTGAATGTGGAAAAGCCTTCATTAGGAAATCTCAGCTCATTGTACACCAGAGAACGCATTCGGGAGAGAGACCCTACGGATGTAATGAATGTGGAAAAACCTTTTCTCAGAAATCAATTCTCAGTGCACATCGGAGGACACATACCGGAGAGAAACCTTGTAAATGTCCTGACTGTGGGAAAGCCTTTTGTTGGAAGTCACAGCTCATTATGCATCAGAGAATTCATGTAGATGACAAGCACGTTGATGAGTTAAATGTGTGAAACTTTTAAAAGTCGATTTCCAGAAGTTACCAACAAAATCATATGGAAGAGAAACTCTGTCAATAGAAATGTCTTATCCTCTAGAAAACTCATAGCAAACAGAAACTTTGTGAATATGCAGCATAGGCAAAGGCATGCACAGAAAGCTGTTCTTTACATGCAGAAAGATATGGTAAAATGTACATGGGAATCGTGTGAATTCAGCAAACCCTTTGAAAATTTTCAGCATCAACTCATACCCTTTTAAACAGTTTATACAGGTGAAGAACCATAGAAATGAAATAGATGTTGCAAAGTCTTTAATATACGGTCACTTTCACAAAGAGGAAACTTCATGGAGCAAATGGAAATAGAATAGACTCCTTTGAAATTCATAGTTTGTTAAATGGCATTTTAAAGAGAGAAATCACAGAACCAGTGAATGGCAGAATTATCAAAACTACAAACATTTTAGGTATCAGAAGTTCATATCTCTTAGGAATCATGCTATAAGGGAAGTTTTCATCTAAAAATAACAAACCCCTAGCAAAAAAATAGTATTGTAGTAGGGAAGATCTGTTATGTGTCAAATAAGGTTAGGCCTCAGCAGGAATGTTCGCCTCATCGTATATCAGAGTTCATTTTAAAAACACCTATTGTTTTAATTTGGAGAAATGTCTTACAGAAATTATTTCGCGAAATTATGTTGCAGGTGTTCCAATTTTAGGAAAATATTGGAGAAAATGCTCAACTATAAGTGTTTATAGAAGGTAAAGATTATTTTAGTATGTAGATAAACTTAATAATTAGGTTAACAAAAAGAAATTCATCCTAAGACCAACAAGGGTATTTAGATATCTTCTTAGATATACACCACATAGTATATATTTTGCATATTTTGACATTTCACTTGTGAATGCCATATGTGAGACAAATTAGTAGATAGAATGCCAGGGATTTCTACTATGAATACCAACATTGTTTCTTCTTACCAAATGCAACTTGTTACTAGAATAATATGGCTTATTAGACATACATTTCAAGGCTACAAACATTTTCTCCTATTATTTTCTACCCTGTGTAAACAGTCTGTGAAGCTACCTTGTTAGTTATAGGAACCAATATGGTGCACATTTCATTTGATTGGGTAGCCTGGAATCTGTTCTACCTTCACTGGTTAGAACGTCTTTATTTCCTTTCAGAGAAAAACGCCCTCACAGTCTATGAAGCCACACCAGAACCATCATTCAAGATGTCCTTCCAAGGACTTGGCATGATCACTAAGTGTGGCTGAGACATGTGGAACTTTACAATTACAGTGGATTTCCGAAGTGCAGAAAACAAATCGAGCTTTTATTATATGGTCACATCTTGATGTGATTATTAAGTAGTTTTTCTATAGAGATATTTCAGAATGGCTGTAGTTACTGTCATTTTCTTAACCTACTTCTCCTGTCTTTTAATTTGAACTACTTGTTATCTTTTTAATACATTGTGTGTTTGATGCGTTTCTGTTGTTTACAGCTTAGCAACTCAGACTGCTTCAGAAACGGGTGCTAGAGTGGGAGGTGTATTCAGAAGCTTGCAAGGATTTATGGATATTTGGAAATGGTTGTTTCCCAAGACAAGGTTGAAACCTTTGAAGTCTCCATTCATATTCCATGGAAGAAACTAGTCCCATGATAATTAGTGAAACTAATTGTCGTCCTATCCTCACTGAGGCTCTGTGAAAATGGAGCAGTTGCTACTGAAAAATTTCAAACATAGTTAGAATTCTGGATTGTGGTGAAGTGGTGAATGCTTCTGATGATGGCCCCGGATAGCACGGAAAATAATGAGCTCAAAATCTCAATTCGAGGAAGGGTATCAAGTCAGTGGACTTTTAAGTGATACTGCTGAAATATTTGCATGTAGCTATAGTGTTAGAGTGGTGAGAAGTGTCATTCTTCAAGTTGCTTTCTCACAAAATATCTTTTCTTCAGAACTTCATCAAATTTCTCATATAAATGGGCATTAATCTTGACAGATTGGGACCCTGACAATTAGATTTGGGCTTCTTAGAGGAATACGAGAATTCAGCACAACAAATATTTCTGAAACAACCTCCACTTTGTGGATCTTACCCAAAGAAACTGTTTCTTCCTTGAATGGGAAAGACTTAGTAATGTCTGAATGCCTAATTCGTATTGTGTTCCACTCATTATACAGAATCCAGTCTGAAGATACCTGGGGTGAAGAATGATGATTCACAGAAGGGAAGAAAAAGCTTGTATATACAAAGAATTGCAGATATTTGCTAAAGTATATTCCCTAAATCTGGGAAATGTTGTTAAAGTGTATTTTTTCTTGAATGTACTGGGGAAGACCAAATAAACTCACAAGAGAAAGTTTCAGTTTACTACCACCCAGGGTTGGTTAGAGTTTGGTTTGTTTTGTTTGATGAAAGTCTACATGCAACCATGCTCAGGAGAAGCCAGAAATGTTGACGTAATACTGATGATAGCACTCAAATACTGTGGGAAAGAATAATGCTGGATTAGGCCTTAATATTCTTTTTTTTTTATATTTATATATTTTTTTTATTTCAGCAAATTATGGGTGTACAGATGTTTAGGTTACGTGTGTTGCCCTTGGTTCCCCCTAGGCCTTAATATTCTTAAGCGAAGTGAAAATTTTACCACGTAAATGAAATTTAGAAATTAGTTGATGTACAGGCAATAAGCAAAATAGATGAACAGAAAGTGAATCACTGGCTTTATATATATATATATATATATAATATGTATAACCTAGTCCCTCTGTTCCTACCCCAGTCTCAGAAAGGAAAGATTCCAGAGACTTTTCAGGAATAGTCTTAGTTGTAAGGAAAGATAACCCCAACATTTTACAACTTTCCCATGAAACAGACATTTGTGAGAAAAAATAACTTTCAAACCATATTTGTGAACATAGATTTTAAAATTTTGAATGGAATTATAGCCAACAACAAAAGGTCGTGATATAATTAGGGTTAGCAGACTAGTGGTCCCAATATCCTTTGCCCATTACCACAGAATCGCTGTATTTATAATGGTAATGTGCCCACTCAAAAAGCTACGTTTATCCCGTCTTTGTAGCTAATTGTGACCATGCTGATAATTTCTGACTAATGGAAATGGAAGTTGTTGAGAAAGTCTAATGGGAAGGTCCCTTAAAAAGGAAACATAACTGGAAAGCCCCATTATGCCTATGAACATTTCCTCTTTTTCATCTACATCAAACGTGATGTTTGGAGATTCAGCAGTTATCTTACACCCTAAATTCATCTTGAGGATTTAGCCCATCTGCTAGAAATAGAGCAGAGTGACTTGCCTCTCTGAAAACTGTGGATCTGCTGTACCAGCCCTAGACTACCTACTTCTGAGTATCTTTTACACAAAAGAGAAATGAACTGTCTTGTTTAAGCCATCTTTCCTTTTTTGGGTGGGAAGAGAGTTCGTTCTGTTAAATGCAGCTGAACTGCTACTAATTGAAACACAGTGTTGTGTTTGGAAGATTTAATATTAGGAAATCTTTTAATGTAACCACACTACCAGATAATAGAAAAGCCATATTAGTATCTCAAAATGTGCAGATAAATCACCTGATGGGATTTAATACCCAGAGATGACTATTAAGAATAGAAATTAATTCCATTATCTTGGTTTGGAATATCTTTATTAAGATCTTTACCTACTCCCTTTATTTAAGGGACAGTCTCTCACTGTCACCAAGGCTGGAGTGCAGTGGCACGATCTTAGCATATTGCAGCGTCAAACTCTTGGGCTCAAGCGATCCTCCTGCCTCGGCCTCCCGAGTAGCCAGGACTACAGGTACAGCCACCACGCCTGGCTTCTGTGTCCATTTAAAGTTTAGTTGTCTTCTTGTTAAGTCTTAGTTTCTTTGTGTATTTTGCATGCAAGTCCTTTTTCAGATTGTTTATCAAATATTTTCTCTCAATCTGTGGCTTATTTTTTTGTTTTCTCAACATGATCTTTCACAGGGTAGACATTACAATAGTCTGCATTATCCATTTTTTTTCTTTCATAGGATGGTTTTTGGTATTGTATCTAAAAATTCACCACCAAATCCAAGGTCAGCTCCAGAGACTTTAGTCCATTTTCAAAATGGACAGGATGCAGCTGGCCGAGTCAGGCTTCTAGAAATTTCAGGGCTGGGCCCACTGCCTGCCAAGGACGGGAGGGAGTACAGTGCACTGGGGGTCCTCATGCAGCCTGTGCCTCTGTGACCAGCTGTCACCCAGGCTCCTCCTTGTTGGGTCTCTGGATCCTCCTGGTGACGGGAAAGGCCACAGGCCAAGGCTGGGATGGGCCCAGGGCTCTGAGTTTCCTGGCAGGGCCGAGGGGTGGCATCCCTTGCAGTAGCCCAAGGCACAGTAGTCACTGCTGCCGCCCTCTGAGTCTGGGGCAGCTGGCCTGGTGGGGGTTGTGGGGGCCCCCCCCGGTGCTCCTGTGCCAGGTAGGCCGGTGGCTGTCTCCTACACTCCGCACACCCTACTAGCAGCATGTCCTCGGAGATCAGAGCCCCCAGGAGGCTGGTCCCAGTGCCCTCCTCCTCCTCCTGGCCCTCGGACTTTCAGGGACACACCAGGCCACAGGTGAGCCGTGCGATGGCCTCCAGATGCAGGACCCTGAGGCTGTGCCATTGCTTCCCCTGCCGCCAACCCTGGGTCCCCCTGCCGTGGCTCCCCGTCCTGTTATACCTGAGCCTACAGGAAGGAAGTTCTCTGTGCCTGTGTCTGTCACAGGCCAGCTTCGAACTCCTGAGGGTAGGGCCAGGGTCTGGTTCCTCGGAGTCAAGGGCTGCTGACCTCAGCCCAGCCCCCATGCAGCCCTGCTCTGAGATGGGGCAGGTGAACACAGGGTCAGTCACAGACACCCCAGAATCCCCAGTCCACCCCTGGGGCTACCACAACTGACCAAGAAATTCGGCTTCCAGGAATTGATCCTGAGGAAACAGCCAGGTAAAGGGCGAAGGGAAGAGGACAGGGGTGCCCACCTGACTGCTGCTTATGGAACAGACACATTAGAAACACTCCCAAGGTCCGACGACAGCACTGACAAGTGGATTAATGCGTCACCCCACCCGTCACGAAATGCTGCCCAAGGCTGTCGTTAACCTCTATACTTTGACATGGACAGACAGGTAAGTGACTAAAGGAGGGGAGTCCAAGATACTAAACTTTTATTGAATACAACATTTGTTTTCCAAACACAATGAATTACAACCTGAGGGGAAATCCACCTTGTTCCCCCTGCCTGGGCCGTCCCCAACCAGGCTTGCCTCCCAGCACTCAGGGGAGAAGCCCAACAGACAGAAACATCGGGACACCTCCCATGACCCACTCCCAAAGTTAGCCGGGTAGAGGAGGCTGGCCTTGTGCGTGGGCAGGCAGGGAGGCAGCCAGCAGCGGAACATTCTCTTCTTGGTAGAAAGGCTTTTGCTGCACAAACTTGCCCAGGGGCTGGACTCTCACCTATCGCTGCTGGAGTGGACAGACCCGCCTCTGACTTCCAGTCTCACGAACAATTCTCAAATGCCTTTCCCAGTACAGGGAGCTGCCAACAAAACTACACGCGGCAAGGGGCTAGGAATCTCTCAATGCTTCTTAGCAGAACCCCTCGGGGGACTCTAGGGACCTCTGGGTTTTGTTTAGGACAAAGCTCTGTGTCGAAGGCCAGATAATCCACATCTGCTCCTCCTGGCTTCTAGCCTGACCGCCGAGGGACAGGTCAGCCCAGGCTGCCCCCTGAAAACTCAAGGAGCATCCTTGCTCCCCAGAAGGCGTCGCAGGAGTCCTGGCCGTCAGGCCACTGCCCCTGCAAGACCAACACCGTGTTACACACAGAGGCAGCCTCTGCCCAGCTCCTTCCCGCCTGGGCTCCTCCTGAGCCTGTACAAACCCTCGCACGTTGGACCCTGAAGGGAATGTTGCCCCACGGCACCCCACCCAGGTCCCAGTCCACTAATGCCAAGTCACGAGTCATCCCTGTCACTGTTCAGCTCTGCTCTGTTTATTCAATCAAGGGCACTAGCTGAGCCCTCCTCCACGCCATGAGCTGTGGGTCCTGGGGTTAAGAAAGAAACACACAGCACTGGTAGGAAGGCCTCACCTGGCTGGAGGGCAGAGGCCGGCTCAGCTCCATGGCAGACACAGGGCCAGTGAAGGTGGCTGGGGCTGGGGCCAGCTCTGGAGGGCTAGAAAAGGGATGGTGTCAGGACAGGCTCTGTCTCGGGGACACTGGGTGACAAGACCTACCTGGTTGTCTTCCTAGCCGTCAGAAGCCATTCTCTGTGCTTGGTACTGATCACGAACAGACTCCCTGCAGGGCCCTCACACACACAGTTTTAGGGGAATTTGTTACACATCGATTGGGGTCGCTTGGTGGGTCACAGAGGGCGACCCTAAGGAGGGCGTCAGGCAGGCTCACGGAGGAGCTGGTGAGCAGAAATGTGAAAGAGGAGATCGTGAAGAAGGAACAGGCCTGGGGTGACAAGACACGAGACCGTTAGGACCAAATCAGGGAGAGCAGGAGGGACAGCGTGGCACGGGCAGGCACGGCCACTCAGGGCGGCGGTGGCGATTCCTGAACAAGGCTGACCCCTGCCTGCCATGGGATGCACTGCGAGAAACCAGGGCGAGTGTGCCGGCTACACATGCTCAGGTGTGCACGGCAGGCTTTTCATTGAGCAAACCAGGAACACGCAAGTGCCCATCCGCAGGAGAACAGGTAAACAAACTGGCACATCCACACCACGGAATACGGCCCAGCAGCAAAAAGGACTGAACTATCGATACCTCATCAACAGGGTGACTCTCCAGGCAGGAATAAAATATTGATACCCCAACAACGGGGAAGTAGTTACACTGAGTGAAAGAAGCTAGACCAGGACCAAACAAAAAGCCCGGAGTACACACTGTGTGACTATTTACATCCAATTCTATAAAATGCAGCTAATCTTGAGAGACAGAAGCAGATCTGTGGTCCCAGGGGTGGCCAGGCGGCGGCGGGCAAGGGAGGGAGGAGGGCAAGTTCGCGGCCTTCGTCACAGCCATGGCCTCGTGGCAGATGCACAAGTCACACTGAGAAAACTACTGGCTGTTCTGTCTGAACACGTGCAGTTTACTGTGTGCCAGTCACACCTCGATGAAGCTGTGTTTACTGAAGTCATCAAGGTCCTCAGGAGGCATCAGAGTTGGAGGATTGAGAGGAAGCGTGGAGACGGCCACGTGGACAGGCCACATGAGCCACAGGGACACTGTGGCTGTGGCAGCACCTGCCTGATCTCAGCTCCAGGCCACAAATGTAAAAATGAGTCCATCTGTGTGGTGCGGAGTTTTTTTCACAGTCTGGCTGCTTCAGAGCATGTGATTTGGGGGCTATTTCCCCTTTTTCTTGCATGTCCTCCCGTAATTTTGTCCTCCCGTAATTTTGCCCTCCCTGGGCACCTGCTTCAAGTCAACCTGGTCTCAGCCCCCAGACGAGGGAGACCGCGTACCCTGGGGACCTGCTCTGCCCCCGGCAACCCCTAATGTGGATAGGACGGGGATCCCACTGGAGCGGGACTGGTGGTGGTGATGTCCTCTCCACCAGAGGACCCCAGACCAGCCTGTCACACTCTGCCGTCTGTCTCCGCAGGCTCCCGCCTGCTGTGCTGGCTGGAGGCCCTCGTCATCCTCTCTGTTCTGACAGCCTACAGCATCAACGCCGTCAACAGCCAACGCTCATCTGTGCTGTTCAAGACCCTCCCAAGAGCCTTTAAAACATCAGTTTGGAATATAAAATCAGGATCTTGATGCTGCTCAGAAATGAAAAGCTTTTGTCTGGGGAAAACAAAATGCCAGAAAGAGGCTGCCGCGGCCCAGGACAATCTCGGGGAAGAAGGGGCAAGTCAAGAGCACATCCAGAGAACAGTATGCCCACGTCTGCTCTGATGTTTTGGGGTCCTCTTTTGTTTGAGGGAAGAACTACCCTCTTTTTGCTGGATGCAGGCTGGTGTGGGGGAGGGCGCTGTTATAGTTTCCAGAAACCCATAAGGAAAGAACTCAACCTGCACAGTCCGAGATGGCAAGTCCGTAAACTGGGTGTTTCCCTATCTCACAGCATGCAGAAAGCATGTCTGGTCCGTGGCCCTCTGGGGCTTACCTCTGCGTGAGGATGAATCCCGGAGCCGGCAATGGGGTCTGTGTCACCAGGAAGCTGCGGGCCTGAGGCTCTGCCTGTCCACTGCTTGTACCTGGAACCTCCTCCAGGTGCGGGCTCTGGGGAACGCTGCTGGGCCGGTCAGCAAATCCTGCATGTAACGAAATTGGACAACCACTGGCAGGAGGGAGCACAGCCCACGTGTGGCACAACCAAGACCTCAAAGCAGGGAGGTGGATGCAGCCTCCATCCCAGCAGCCTGAGCCCTGTGGACCAAACTTGTGACCCTGGGCCTCAGCTTCCCTGTCTGAGGAAGAAACCATCGCAAACCTCAACCTTAACGGCCACTCCAGGCTTCCAGAGACCCAAACAAAGTTGAATTCCGCTGACTTCAAAGTCTGCTTTGTCATTCTGGACCCCGCGTGCCCCCAGCGCCAGAGACTGGGAGTCTGCAGCGAGCTCCCTCCCGCAGGTGGGAGGACGCGCCACGCAGCCTCGGCCTTGCCCTGTGGCTGGTTCACTCACGGCAGCTTCAGCCACCAGCCCTTGGCACTTGCCGTTCCTACCTCTGACCTCAGGTTTGCCCAAGATGTCACTGACGTGCAAGCTGTCACTACCTTCCCTTGCCCTTTGACTTTTTCCTCTCTCAAAGGGTTCCATGGAGTATCTCAGAATATCTTTCGCATTTAAAGACAAGTTACTGTGGATGTGGTCAGTTCTGGGTTGACACAGATTTAGGAGGGAAGTGACCAGAGAAGGAAAGGTCTTTTCTGCCTTGAGTCTACAAGGCTGTAAAACTAGTATGAGACGGCCCTGATCTCAGACAGGAAACAACAGGCCTGGGGGCCAGGCTCATAGTGCCCCCCGCCCTGACCACCAGAGGACCGCCTGGCCCGGAGGCCAGCCTCCCAGGACCTTCCTGGGTGAAAGGGACCTTCTCAACCATTTGGTGCACGACTCAATCTCTGCTTTCTATGTCCTCTTTCGTGCAGAAGCATAAGGACATTCTGAGGCAGAGGAAATAAAGTTTGAGCACTAATTTGGACATTCTGGTTCAAACATAAGACAGCAATGGGTTCTATCTTCTCTCTGTGAGAGACAGAGACGTGAAAGCCACAAGCACAGTGTGCATCGCTGTGCGGAGCCGGGATGCAAGTGCAGCTCCGTGGCAATGGGCCTCTGACAGGGAGCTGGGTGTAGGGCAGGGGCTGAGGTCCTCAAGGAACTCAAAGAGAGGGAGAGCTTCCTGGTGCCCAGGCAGCAGCAGCGAACCCGAAGGCAGGGGTTTCTGTAGACAGAACAAGGAAGGAAGCTTGCTGAGTCCCAGAGAGTATCGCCCCTCACATGTGCTGGCCCCTAGGTTTGATGGCCAGCTCCCCTGGTCCCAGTGTGAAGTCAGCCGTGACTGTCCCCACTCTAGTCTCATTGGTAATGACAGACAGGCAAATGTGAGTCTCCAACAGGAAAAAAAAAATGGACAGCAATAAATAAAAGACCAACATGGTCCAACTGAGAAGTCGCCTCCAGAGAAAGGCACCAGCTGCTGTCCTCTTTCTGGCCCCACGGCCTTGTGAATTCCAGGAAGGTCCAGAATCCACGGTCCCTATAGCCTACCCTTCAGAAAATGAAGCGTATTTTTAAAAAGTTCTAATTAGGATCATCAGAGAAGTATAAGATATTGTATCATAGAAAGTAATGATCTATTAAGAAAGGAAAATTCAGAGATCAGTAAAGAAGGTTTGAAATTCTGTTGAAATGTACAACTGTCAAAATAAAAAACTGGAAGACAGAATTTAAGAAATATCCCAAAATTACATACAGTAAGAAGGAAAATATAAGATAAAAGGCAAGTTCTTTGGAAGATTGGTCCCCGAGTTCCAACATCCAAATAACATTTGTGCTCTAAAGAGAGAACTGAAAAGAATGAGGGAGGAACTTACCAAGGACATTACTGAAGACATTATGAAAGGATATTACAAGAAATGCCCAGAGCTTAAAGGAAACTTTGTATTTTAAAGTGGAAGGCTTAACATCAAGATGAATTAAAAGACCCATACCTAGGACCGTAAGTGTGAAATTTCAGAACACCAAGATAGGAAAAACAACTAAAAGCCCCCAAAAAGTAAAAATATGTTATCTGCAAAAGAGTAAGTATCAGAATGACATCTGACTTAATAATACTGAATGCTGCAAAAAAAATGATATAATGTCTTCAAATTTCTGAGGTAAAAAGTATTTTCAAGTCAGAATTTTGTCCCTGCCAAATTGTTAATCAAATGTGAGGGCAGATCAGAGACATTTTTAGGACATGCAAGGACTCAGAGAATTTATCTTGCAGGCACCCTTTCTTGGGTGCCTTTCTTGCAAAGTTAATTGAAGAAATTTTCTAACAAAACAAAAGGAGTCAAAGAAAGAAAGAACAAAACTTGCACCTCATGAAGCACTACAGAGAATGTAGGGAAGTAGTTATGGGAGCTCTGGGGATCACAGCTGCACCCCAGGCCTAGAGAGACGTCACTCGGAGGGAGCGGGAATAGGAGGGGCCCTAGCAGCGAGTTTTAAGAAGGAATGTTTGAAATGCTGGAAGATGTAACACGGGCCCCCAACCTTTTTGGCACCAGGGACCGGTTTCACAGACGATAATTTTCCATGGATTGGGGGTGGAGGTGCAGCTCAGGCGGTGATGTGAGTGATGGGGGGTGGCTGTAAATGCATCAATACAGAGGCAGCTTCACGCGCCTGCCCACTGCTCACCTCCGGCTGTGGCCCGGTTCCTAACAGTCCACGGAGCAGTACCGGGCCGCGGCCCTGGGGGCTGGGGTACCACAGATGTAGGGTAAAGGATGTGATAAAACCAATGTTAAAAAAAGAAAGGTAATTAGAAACTCCAAGAAAACAAAAAGGAGGAAATATCATATATCTCTCTCCATATATGTATGTGTATCTTCATGTATATATATATCTACATATATCTCCACAGAATACTAAGAAATATCGGTAAATTCTTAGTGCCAATGTCCTCCTTAGAAGGTGAGAAGTCACAAGATTCTGTTGTATTAGATGGACAAAACAATATATCCAAATATATGTTCTTTAAAGGTACTTATAGCAACAATGATAACTAGGAAAGAAACTAAAATAATGATATTTGCACCATGGGCTACGGGTGGAGAACATTTGGGGGTCTAAGAAGCTCAGCCCTTCTCTGTTGCACCGGGTGTTAACAAGGGAGTGAGGTGCTCTGGTGTGGGGATCGCAGGGCGGCGGTGGCTTCCTTTCTATTTAACTCTTGCCTCACTGTTGTATTTTCCAGTTATGTGCATATATATATATTTTTTCGAAATAAAATAAATGAGAAATAATCTGGGATGTTTTTAGGAAGAGTCTCGTTTCTGGCCGCACTGGCTCCGGGTCTAATCAAACACCCTGGCTTCCGGCGGAAGTCCCAGCATACCCACACTTCCACCCCCTCAGAAACACCCAAGTAGTCAAAGCACGTGGTGCAGAAACTCACGGACTACCCAAAGCGGACCCACCTGTAGGGCTGCGATTGCCGAGGGCGGCAATGGACACAGTCATAGCCGTGTCTGCAGGGCACATCATCAAGTCCAGCCCGTGACCGTGGACCAGCTGTTCAGTCTGGAAGGAAACTTCCTTGGAGGATGCCAGTGCAAGGGACATCAGCCACGATTCGGGGGCAGCCAAAGAGGGGTCCAGCATGTCGCCGCCAGCAGCCAGAGGGCAGAAGCCAGGGCCACGGCAGATGGAGGGGAGGGTTTCAGGACTGTGGCTGAGCCCCTCCTGGTACATCTCTCCACCCTGCAGAGACCTGGGGGACATGGTGGACACCACGCCTTGGTGGGAAGAGGCTCCCTCAGGCTGGGGCGTCGGCGCCTGGAAGGGGACTCTAGTCAAGTTCGAGAATTTGGGTTCTTGTCTCAACTCAGCCACTGGATGCTGAGGGGCCCGTTACACTACTAATCACACTGGCTTCACGGTTCTCCCTGGGGCTGTAAGGACTAGGGCTGAGCTCTGATAGGCCTGGCTCCTGGTGACACTTAATAAAGACTATTACCGGAAACCTAAAATACATTAGCAGCTTATTTACAATGACCTTCAATGATGTATTGCTCTTCAGTACTGAAACCTAAAAATGATTAGCGAGAGCCTAATAGTTGAATGAATAATTCACAGTTGAGTGAATTAAAGGAGTATAAGGTAGCAGCGGATAATAATTTAAAGAGTTAATGTTCCACCAATGCTCACTATGTCCCAAATGGTATTCCTAGGATTTTGTTAACCGTCTCCCCTTAACCTTCTCAGCAACCCCTGTGTTGGGTCCCATCACCATCTCCATTTCACAGGTGAGAGGTCACGCGTACCTGCCTGGGGTCACACGCCTGGGTCGTGCCGAGCCTGGATATGAGCCAGGCACAGGGGGTGTCAGGAGAGACGCTGATGTCCTAACGGTACATGGAAACGGAAGAGGATAAGTGCTCATGGTGTGACGGTCAGACAAGCTGTGGGCTGAGCTGCGTGGACCCAGCACCATGGTCAACCAGCATGCACTTCCCTTACCCTGACGAAGGCTTGTGCCTCATCATGGGAGGAGCACAGAGTGCGGGGAGAATGCTCCAATGGCACAGGTACGTAGTATGTAGTAGGAACTCGAGAGGTGTTGGCTATTAGTAACTCAGTGAAATGCAAAACAGACAAAATACTAGACACAAACCACAATGACAGCTGGGTCTGTCTTTATGTGGTAGGTCTGCATTTGTTCCTTCTAAGTCTATTACCCCTGCTCTCCAAAACAGACACGAATCCAGCTGCTGAGTCAGGCTGCAGGGAGCAAGTGAGGTCAGAGGAAGCTGCTCCCTGCTCCCCACCCTGCCTCCAGTCCTCGGTGTGGGCTCCTTGCTGATGGCTTCCCCTGCCCTGGGGTCTACCCAGTCCCAGGGTCTGGGCCCTAGCATCCCCACGCCCACTCTACACCCTGGTCTCCACCTGAGCAGGGAGGGGAACGGAACAGGTGAGTTGGTCCCATGGCCCATGGGGATGACAGTACCTGGAAGCCAGTGGCTTCGAGATTGTCTCATCTCCAGAAAAGTCTGGGGCCAAGGCCAGCGGCTCCCACGGCCCTTGGGTGGTCTCTGGAGACTGTGGGGGCCCATTTTCCTCGTGTCCCTCTGAAAGCAGATCAGATGGGAGGGGAGACTTCATGAGGCTCTGAGTCCCAGCCTCCTTCCCAGCAGGTAAGAGCAGCCCTGCCGGCTGGAAAAGGTGTCACCACTGGGTCATCCCAGTATTCTTTGTTTGTCCCTTGGCTTGTCTTGGGTCTCAACAAATAATCCATAATTACCAACCCAGAACTCCCCAAATCCTTGTGCTTGGTTCACTTCTCGAATCTACTCACCTGCCCCCTTCCTATAGCCACATGATGGCCTGGTCTCCAGCCCAGCTCCTGGCCCTGGCCACGCAGTAGCCTGGAAGTGCACAAGGGCAGCCACAGCCCTGCCTGGGCCTCAGCCTCTGTGACCTCACTCCCCTCTGACTAGGGGGTAGGGGGCAGCTGTCCCTGTAACACGAGTGACCCTACTTTGGCCTGGCCCTTGTCAGAAATCAGTCCCGCAACCACAAGCAGGCTGGGGCCCTCAGGTCACTCACCTGACCACTGAGGCCTGTCCACAAACCCAGAGTCAACGTGGGGGTCTCCTGAGGGCTGCAGGGGGTCAGGATATCTCTGTCTTACACTGGGGTCTTCTGCCGTGGCCTTCTGAGCTGGCTCCGTGTGCTGAGTGAGGGCCCTTTGGCGCCGCCGGTAATTGGCAAACCAGTTGTACACCTGCTCAGTGGTCAAGCTCGTCTCCAAAGCCAAGTTCTCCTGCCCCAAAACACCAAAACTTCTAGCCGTGCTTCCATTCACTGAGCACAGGGGTGCGCAGAGGTGGCTCTGACAGCTCATTTCCACCGAGAAAGGGGGCAGGAGCCCAGCCTGACAGCAGTGATGGTGCTTGGGAGGTTAGACAGAGGAACATCCGAGCTCAGGAGGCTGAGTGGTCAGCGTGAGCTGGACTCGCAGCCCTGACTTCCTGGGACAAACCCCATTCCAGGCCAGCTTGGGCCCTGGCCAGGGTGTCTGCACAGCCACACGCACACGTCCTCCTGGGTGAGTCCACCTGGACAACAGGCCTCGCCCTGCACACTCGGAGGGCAGGGCCTGTGGAGCTACACCCCCGTGCCTGGCACGGAGCCACTGTGCAGTGGGAGAGTGTGTCGGCCTGCAGATGCCCACAGCCATCATCCCGGGGCCTGGCACCCAGCAGGTGCTGAGTGAGCACCTGCAGGGCCACACGCACGGACAATGTTACGATCTCGCAGGAGAGGACCAAACCCTCGCGTAGCGTGCAGGACAGCCGGGGGGCTGCCTGTCAGTGAGCTCCCTGTCTGGAGGAGTTCAGGAGAGGCGGAGACCACAGCACCCTGGGGGCATGTCCCCTGGGCTCTTGGCTCTGTCCATTCTTACCCTCTGGACCTTGCTGGGGTTGGCGCTAACCCCTGAAGCAAAGTCATGCAGCTTCTGGCGAACCTCTCTGGGGAAGTTCCGGCTCTTCAGCCCCTCTGGGCAAAGCGAAGCGGGTGGGGGGTTCCTGGATGAGGAAAGAGAGGAGGCAGTAACAGAACAGGAGCCCTCCCAAATACATTCCCCGCGCAGAGCCCTCTGAGGAATGTGACACTGGTATCCCCTCTGTCCTCTGGGCCTCTTCCTAGGGGATGCCTCTATGTGCCTCTAGTTTGTGAAAACTACAATCTCTCTCCATAGAAATGCACACCCAACACATACTGTTCACACGACTGCATGGGGCTCCTTGCACATCTGCAGGCCGTGGTGAGGAGCCCTCTCTGTGGGCCCTCACGGTGTTCCTGGGTGCATCTCAGTCCACCTGGCCCCTGGACGCCCCTGCTGGACATGCTCCTGCATAGGCCTCTCAGGACCTGGTTCCCCACCCTGGGTCTACTTTTCCATGCAGTGTCTTCCTGTCAGTTACTGGTGTCCTGGCCGTCAGCCCCACTCTGGTGTGAGTCCTCTGAGGCCTGCAGCACTCCACCCTCTGGTTCCATCTCCCTGCCGACCACATCAGCCTTCCAACCCCTCCTCTCACCTGCAACATGGCCTCCCAGGACTCACTATCCTCAGACAGCCTGGCTCTTATTTCACTGAGATGTCATCAGAAGAGCAGTGCCACCTGTCCCCCCACCAAACCTGCCAGACCCCTGCACTCCCCAAATGCCTGTGGAATCACTTGGAAAGCGAGGCTCCCAGCCCAGCCTGGAACACTTGTTCCTGAGCACAGGGGTGCGCAGAGGCGGCACTAAGAACTTTACTCTTGAACTTATTCCCTGTTTCCACCCACAGTAGCTGTAGTCACTCCTATGAGCGGGCAATCGTCCTATAAATCACTTACCTTCAGCACAGACCTCTCCTGACTCCCTTATTCCCTCTCAGCTGCCATTTCATGACTCTACAAAACTTCTCAATGAATGATCTTTGACCACTACCACCAACCCCTCATCTCCGTAACACACTTGGATCCCTGCACCTCGCTCCTGAAGGCGTTGTTCCCGAGCTCACCCTCTCGCCAAGCCCAAAGGTTGTTTCTCTGGCCTCCTCTCACCTGACACCCCTCAACCCCACCAGCGTCTCAACAGTGTGCAGCCCTGGACGTCCCCTCCTCTCGCTGTTCATTCCTTCTTGCCCTGCTCTGTGCTGCAAAGTCTCAGGGATCCGTGCCCTGAACGAGGAGACCCCTCCTCTCTCTGCGCCCTCTTTTCTATACTGTTGTGTAGACTTGAACATGTTCGCAAGAAAAATGTGACATATAAACAAATATCACCTGCATGTGGAAGGCTTGATATCCAAACACCTGCACGGACATCTAAAATGCATCTCACGTATCACACATCCCAAAGGGAACTTGGTCCCCCTCTCTCCAAGCCTTCCCTGACCCCGGTGCACCTCAGTGAAGAAACACTGGTGGTTCCACGCAGGCCAAGAGTCCTGGAGTCTGTTTACTCCCCAATACATCCAGCCCATCAGCAAGTCCTCCAGCGCTACTCCACCCCTTCTACTTTCTCTAGCCTCTGAAGTCACATTAAGCTGATGATGCAGCGACTATTACTGCTTCATCTGATGTTTCCTGCCTGAATCTCCTTGCCTCTCCTTTACCTCAGCCCCTCTGGGGTCAGGATAGTACACCCAATCCCTCAGGAACCCCATGGAGCAAACACGAATAAACGTCAATGGGTACCTCTTCCTGCAGCGGAACTTCTGCACCGGGGTCAGCACGGTCACGCCCAGCCTCTTCATGACCAGACGGTAGTGGATGTCGTTCCAGAGCTGCACCAGCTCCTGGCTGCCTCCTGGCACCCGGCACCCCTGCCAGGAAGAGCTCGCTGAGCTCTGGCTGGCTGCTTCCCCCTGGCACGCTGTGGGGACCTGTATCTGCCATCCCAAAGCAACCCAACCTCTGGAAAGGCGTGATGTCTGTGTGAAGAGCAGGGATCTGGGTTCAAATCCACTGATTTGCAAAGTGCAAACGTGACTCACGGATGTGAGTCTGATGGCCAGGGCTGCAGTCCCCACCAAGCTCAGCAGTGTGACTCTGGGCCAGACGGGCCTCCTCACAGGCCACGGGTGGACACACTCACGCCAGCTGTGAATGGGCCCCTGCCTTTAAACCCTTCGACCCTCCCAGCAAACACATGAGATGAGCACAGCTCTCGGCTACACCTTGCGGGTATGGAGCCCATGGTAAGGGGAAGTCTAATAATTCGCTTTTGGCCGACAGCAAACAAGAGGTGCAGCAACAATTAGTAGAACCCCACGGTGTGATTTGAGGATCTGATGTTTGACCCACGCCTTAAGTGAACGATCTTTGTTTCCCGACAGCAGGGCTGGCCCCTCACATGGTCAGCATCTTCTGAGCTGAGTGGGACAAAGGTTCCCTCCCTGTGCTCGCGGACAGCTCCGCCATCCTCCTGACTGGACTCTGCAGACGGATGAGGATGCACGGCCTCCACTTCCCTGTGATCCCTGCGGCCCTGTCTGCAACTTCATTCACCCGGCACATGAGGTGTCTCTGTGGCCCCAGGTTGGCCTTTAACTGCTGGCATGGGGGCCTCAGGTAGCAGGTTCTCGCGGACTCCCAGGCACTTCTGTGGTGCCGGGCATGGTGGAGGCTGCTGAGGAGGCATCGCCACCCCTCTCCGCACCCACCCCTGCAGGCCAGTCCTACCTCCAGAAGCCGGCAAGCGGCCTGCTGCTGCTCCTGCTGCTCCAGGACACGGGCGCACACCAGGGCCACGTCTGCATTGTCCAGGAGGTACAGGCGGAGCTGGCTGTCCAGAACGGCCGTGACCAAAGGCTGCGCCTGGGCAAGGTCATCCTGGAGGTCCCGGAACAGCCTGCCTACGAGGGTCACCAGCTCGGCAGGGGGTGGGCAGGGGCCCTCATGCTTCCTCAGCAGAGTCAGGAAGTGCTGCATCCTGCGTGAGGTGGAAGCCCCTCTGCCGACACAGAGAACAGTTATGAGAATGGCCAACATCCACCATCCCTTTCAGCTGATCAATCCTGGAACCAACTCCACAAAGCAAGTGATACCATGACCCTCATGCCCAGGACACTTGCAAAGTCGGAATAACAAGAGCTTACCTGAGAAAAGGCAGGGTGGTATCACCCACCTCACAGAACTTCCTTCTGATTTCCAAAGATAGTTTAGTCCTTAACGAACCTGACTGTGTACCAAGCACCGAGCTGGGTGCTGTCTGCAACAGTGCGTCTCACTCCTCTGAGCCTGTCTGGCCCCCTGGTGCCCTGTCCGCAAGGCCCCCACCCTGTTCCTCCCGTCTCTCCTCAGGCTTTCTTTCCTCCACTCTCTGACACAGTTGTGATTATGTTTCCTCTCACTGCCCCGTGGGCTCTGCGGGGCAGGGGCTCGTGTGCAGGATCCCCAGAGGTCCCCGGCATCTGCAAGATGAATGCCAAGGCCTCCATCTAACGACACGCATGCACTCACGTTTAACAGCAGAGAGACTGCTTATGCCAACACCTGATCTGACTAGTCTCACAGGCCCATTTCGGCATCCATGTGCTCGGTCCTGCAAAGCATCCCATGAAACAAGGGACCAAGAGTGGTTTAAACAGGTCCCCGCCTAAGGGTGTCTAGGCAGCATGCTAGTGACTGCTTTTTCAAACCAGATACCTTTGTTCACGACTGAACTCATTTCTGTAGAATACCCTTCTAGAAGTGAGGGTTCAGGGTAGTGTGACATGGACATCTACGTTTTTAAAAGATGTTTCCAAACTGCTTTCCAAAAGGGTCGTACAAGAATCTGCAGAACCGCAGAGAACTGGCCAGTTTGCACACTCCCTGGCGGCAGGAATAGCCTCCGTTTCTGGTTCTTCCTTCTGTGTATCACCTCTCAGGTCTTCCTTTGCTCCCGTGCGCCCACCAGGGGGACGCTGTCTCGTCTACGCCACCGGGTCCGGACTCGACCTGGGGCTCCGCATTTCTAACTGCCACGGCTGGTAGGAGGCCCAGGACCCCCGGGGCTTCCACGGAGAGGGAAGGGTGGGCTCCCCTCAGGACTGGGTGTCCTCCGGCGCCACCCCCTCCCCCTGCTCTGGGAGGGGCGGGAGGAAGGCCGGGGCCTGGGTCCGGGCCGACTCAGAGAGCGGACGGGTTCCCACGGGCACCCCGGCCCGCCCGGGCCTGTGCACCGAGGGGACGGGCCGCGCAGGCGGCTCTGCGCAGCGCCTCCCGCCCGCGGCCCGGCAGCCCTACCTTTCAGCGCGGCGGCTCCGCGGGGACAGCTCTCCGCGCCCGCGGCCCGCGGTGGCGGCCACTTCCGCGCTCGGCGCACGTGCTCGGCCGGGCGGCGCCACGGGGCGGCGCGGAAGGCGAGGACGCTACAAAGTATCCGGGCCGGTCCAATCCCCGCGAGGCCCCGCCCGAAGATGCGGCCTGGGGGCCCGCCGCCGGCCACGCAGGGCGCCCCCCAACGCGGGGAGGTCAGAGGCGTCCGCGGGGGAACGCGGCAGGCGCCGTGGCGTCTGGGGTCCGGGCAGCCCGGGGCGTTCCTGGGGACCTGGGAGGCTCTGGGGGTCGAGCGTGTGGCGGGACCCGCGGCCCAGGCTCAGAGGCGCCGGGAAGGAGCGGGCGGTGCGGGGTGGCGAGGGAGGGGCATGAGCCGGGCGAGCCGTGACTCAGGCGGACCCCACGCCGCCCGCCCGGTGCCCCGCGGAGACACAGTCGGGCTGGGGTCGCAGCTGCGTGAGGCGGACGCCGTCGCTCCTGCCCGGGGGCTTCTGCCGCGCGGGCCAGCGGAGTCCGGACGTCGGAGCGGGAAGGGCCGCCGGGCCTGCAGGCGGCGCCGGGACAGCGCGACAGCGCCCGCCCGGGCCTGTGCTTCGGGGTGCAACGCCCGCCCGGTCCAGAGCGGGCCCCATGGGGTGCCGAGCGCCGGCTCCCTGGCTCCACCGCGGTCCGGCCTCGCTGGGCGCGGCGCTCTCGGCTCCGTACGGTGCTTGCACAGCGGGCGCCCACGGAGCTCCGGGGACGCAAGGGCGAGAGGACAGGAGTTGGCTTTTAGAGGACGGCCGAGGCCTAATTGGAAAGAAAAACGTTCTCTGACATCAGGGCTTGTGCATAAGCGTATGCAGAGGACTTGGGCCAAAAGGTCGACATTTCGGTGTTTGTTCCAGGGAGAATCTGGACACGATCTAAGTGTCTGGTGGAATATTTTCTAAGCAAACCATGATTCGGACCGAGGACGGGCTCTTGGACGGGGATTTGAACTATGCTGAGGAAGGATGCTTCCCGACCGACTTACGGTAACGACACATTCATTGCACAGGAAAAACGGTCTGTTTCAACTGTGGTCCCCGAGACCCGGGCCGCGGACCGGTCTGCAGCCTGTGGGGACCCGGCCTCGGAGCTCCGCTGCCCGCCCCGCCTCCGACCCCCGTCCGGAAAAATTGTCTCCAGGAAACTGAGGAACGGGGCCGCACAGCGGGAGGCGAGCGGCCGGCGAGCGTATGTACAGCCGCCCCCGTCACTTGCATCGCCGTGAGCTCTGCTGCCCCCCCGCCCGTCCGTCATTGTCTTCCGTGAAACCGTCCCTCGTGTCAAAAAGGTTGGGGATCGCTGTGTTAGGACAGTTTGAGTGATATGAGTCCATTTGGAAGTGGAGATAAAATGATGTATGCTACATTGTTAAACCCTGGTTGCCCCCGTGGGTGATGGAATCATTATTTTGTTTTAGTATTTTTATTAGACACTTTAATTTTTGTCTTTTTGTTTATCCACATTTCGTAATTTTTATAAAATATAAATTTCCGGTTTTCTATTTTTTAATTTGTTTTCAAGGAGTGGAAAGAGAAAACAGGACAGCAGGGTTGGGGCAAGCAGTCCTGACTGCCCAAGTGTCCTGAGGCTTGAGCCTCCCTGATGTGGGTGGAGAGCAGACCCGAAATTAAATTCTCCCATTTACATCGGGACCTTTCTGGAAATGCAGTCACGAGCTGTTTCTCTAGGATGGCTAGATGGTGTGTCCTAGACATAAACGAGAACAGAACAATGCTCCTGACCGCTCTTCACCTGCTAAGCACCAATGAATTTAAAAACTCAGTGCAATCTAAAATGTCAAAGTCCCTACATTAATAAATTTAAATGAATTCCACAATTTTTTGTTTTATGCATTTTTATTTTTTTAGGGATGGGGGTCTGGCTGTATTGCCCACACAGGTCTCGAACTCCTGAGTTGAAGCGCTCTTCCTGTGTCAGCCTTCCAAGTAGCTGAAACTATAGGCATGTGCCCACAAGCTTGACTGAATTCAACAAATTTTATGATCATAATTCATTGTTATACAATCAGTTACTTTTTTTCTTTTGGCTGCTATTTGCTGAACACTCAATATGTCCCAAGCAAGAGGTTACTGAATACCAACATTGTTTTATTTGAGCCTTCCAATCAGCCTTTGAGCAAATTTTGAAACACTTTCCACAGTGGCCTACCTTAACCATTAGACTTGAAAGTCTACTTTTTTTTTTTTTTAATATAGAATGCTTCACTAATTTGTATGTCATCCTTGTGCAGGGGCCATGCTAATCTTCTCTGCATCATTCCAATTTTGTGCTGCTGTGCACAAAATATGCTGCTGAAGTGAGCACAAAAGTCTACATTTTCGGCTGGTCTGAGTGCAGTGGTGTTTACAACTAATTGATCACGACCAGTTATAGATTTCCCTGTTCCGTCTCCACTCCCCCTGCTTTACTAGGCTAGCTTAAAAAACAAGTGTCTACAATCTTAAGTTCAGCACTTCAGTGTTTAAATTCTAGGTGTTCTAAATCAAGACAAGTTTATAAGCTTCACTTTTAATGGCTAGATTTTTTAAGGCTAGATCTTTCCAACAGAAGGCAGTGCCAAAACGTAACTAATCAATGCCTGTTGGAGATATAGTTGTCTCTCCTTTCGCTTCTCTGTGATGGGATATTAGATGTTGCTCTAAGGCATCCTCAACCACTATTTCTAGATGTTCTATTCCCTTCTGGACCAGGCTACCTGGGATGAGCTCCCAGTTCAGTTACTTGATTCATAGCAAATGTGACCTTGGGTAAGTTACTTACTGACCATCCCTATTGCTTCTCTCCTCTTTGGTAAAATGGGAATAATAACAGGACCGCTTTCTTCATGCAGTTGGAATAATTAGAGTCAATACTCAGTACGTGCTATCTTAAGTCATCATCATTTTGTTTCCTGTGTATACTATTTATTTTTAACACATTCAAAATCTGGTAAGTTCTCCCTCATTACTTTTACTTTTCAGAAATTTCCTGGAAATCCTCACACTTTTCCCCATTGTAATTAACTGAACACATTTTTCTTTTACTCCTGATCCACAGTAAGCTGGAAGACTATTTAGATATGTGCCTGTAGTCGCAGATACTAGGTAGGCTGAGGATCGCTTGAGTGCATGAGTTTGAGGTTATAGTGAGCTGTGATCGTGCCACTGCACCCCAGCCTGGGTGACAGTACAAGGCCCTCTCTCTCACCAAAAAGAAAAAAATAGAGGTGTATTTTGGGGTGTTATATTGTGGTATTCTATGGTGATATTTGGGGTGGCATATTCTGGTCTCCTACATTGTCTTCCACAATGACTGTACCGTTATGCATCCTACCAGCAGTTGCTGAGATTTCCTGTCTTTCCTGCAGCAGTGGTTTGCCACGTTTTTAGAGTTTAGCAATTGTAAAAGGTGGGCCATGCTATCTCATTATTTTTGTAATTTGCTTATCCCTAATGACATATGATGTTGAACATCTTTTTGTATGATATATCTGTGTATTTTCCTTGTTGAGGTGTCTGTTCAGATCTTTACCCATTTTTAATTGTTTTTTTGGTCTTCTTATCATTGAAATTTAAAAATTCTTAGTATATTTTTAATATAAATTCTTTCCCAGGTATGTATTTTGAAAATATTTCCTATCAGCCTGAAGCTTATGTTTTTATTC